TAAAGTCTCTTACCTGTATGTTTGCATAAGGCATGCTTGAGTTAGCCCATATTAAAAAATTCTTTCTGTATCATACTGAAAATAAAATAAAATTTAAACTCAAATGAACTTGTTATTTAAGAATTAGAATAGAAAACTGCTTTGCTAATTCTTTGTCCTGCTCACTTTAAAGCTTTCACCTATAATTGTCCATCCTTTCTAACCAAAATAGAAAAAAGTGTTAGGATTTTGTGTATTTTGAGTTTTAGAGCAGTCTTTTTAAATCTTCACCACTAATTATTTTAACTTGACATTTGCCTGTCTCTTTATTTATCTCTATTACAAGCTTTATCTGAAATAAGAAAATGGTTAGTGTTAATTAGGTGACTTCACAGATTTGCAATACCTAGGGTTTAAAATGAATTTCTAAAAATGAAAATCTTTTCTGAAGCTTTTATTTTAGTTTTAATTTCAAACTGATAGATTACATTGAATATTTCCAATAAGCAATATACTGTATTTCAAAACTAATTTAAATTGATTGAAGACAGTTTTCATTTTGAAATTTCTAAAATTTGTGAATTTTACACCATTTTTAGCAAACTGTCTTATTAGCTGATTTAAAGTAAATTAATCTGATTTAAAACAACTAATATTTACTTTAAGTTTAAAATATTGCAGAACTGCATATTTTTAACACAGTGTTAGCTGTTTATGTTGACAGCTTTTTAACAGCTCCATGACAGATAATTTTTATCTAATGTTGTTCTATGGCAGCTTTAACTGTAAAGGAAATAATTGAAGAATATAATGTAAGCACCTTTTAAGTAGTCAGTAGTCTTAATTCAAAAAAATATTTTCTGTAATCTAATGTTTTATTGAATTTTAGAGGAGAATTTTGGCTCTAGATTTACTATATTTTTTTTTTTTTTTTTTTTTATAATGTTCGGTGTGGCCGACCGTATCTACAAAAATCAGGACATTTATACACATACAAAAAACAATTGAAAATTCTTTTAAAAAGAACTTGGAGTTGTAAGATTGTGATAAGCTTTATGATATAAGTAGTAAATATAGTTTTACTTGATAACACTATTCCCTAACAAATACACCACTGAAACTGAATTTTAAAAGATTTAAAAACTTTATAAATTATTCTAATTAAAATTGTAATAAAAATGACAAATCATGTAAATTTATTTTTCATCAAAAAAAATTTTTTAAGACAATATTGTCTTTAATATATATTATTCATAAAACAATTAAAATCTTTTGTAATTAAATAATGATTTGGTTTGTGTTTTTTATTTTGCAATTCAGAGCAGATTTTCAGTAAGACATGGTCTGATTTTACAAACAAAAATTGATGATTTAAATTCTCCAAATAGTTCTGATTTTAACTAATATTGTCACTAAATTGTTGAATTTCTCAAGTTTTCATAAAATTAAGTAAATGGAGTGAAACATATGTAGATATATATATATATATATATATATATATATATATATATATATACACCAAGATTTTCTAAAATAATTTCATTCATTTTTGAATAAATCCTGGAAGTTTCATTAAAATTCAACAATTACTTGATTTTTGCAAGAATTTCCAAATTAATGTGGCTTTCAGCACAAAAAATACTAAAATTTACTATGCTAATTTATAGTACATCCACTGATGCAAGAAAAAAAGATTTTTATCAAAATTTTGAATATTCTAAAAGGATTAAAAAAAATCTAATTAAATATTCAAAAAATACTTTGATCTTTCCTCTTAATAATAAAGATTTTGACAATAAAACTTTATTTTCATTAAGCTTGAAGCATTTTTTCATCACAGTATGCTAATTTATTACCCATTTTGTGGAGGTACCTAGTGTCAATGTTTATAAAATGGCATGTATGATCTTGATTTGTTGAAAAACTTATCAATTTTCTTGCCTTTCTATTATTCAATATCATTTGGAGATTTAATTGATTGAATATTTTAATATTATACTTAGTTTTATTACTATTGCCTTCATCACACTGAATAATGTATTATTGTTAATTTTATTACTATTTGATGTTTTTCATGTGATCTACACTTAAAATATAATGACAGTTATAACAATGACAAATGCTATTAGGATTTAAACTTTTCAAAAGGTCAAATATTTATGGTATATTGATTAGTTTGTCATATTGCAACAAAATCACTTTTAGATCAATTTTCAGATATTTTTTATTATTCAGCAAATATTTGTTCTCTCCAACATTCTCCATTGTTATTGCTCTCTGAAATAGCACAGGAAGATAAAACAGAAAATATTTTTGCCCAACAATGACTATGCAAAACAGGAATTTAATTCTTTAAAACAATGTTTATATTTAACCATCCTTCTCTTCATACAAACTGGTTGAAGACATCTATTCTAGCTTGTATGTCTACATTTATTCTTACCAAATTTCTATGTAGGTTATTCAAACTAAAAACTAGAGAATTTTTTTGGGTTTGCAAAAGAGTATAAAGATTTTTTTTGGTGGGTGGGGGGTATTATTTATTATTCAGAGAGAAATTTACAAAGGTGCTAAATATTTATATCATTTGAATCAAAGTATTTAAAATTTCTATGCTATATATTAATTTTGAAAAGCAGTTCTTATTTGTAATTAAATCCTTACTCTGCCCAAAAGCAAATCAACATCTTCTCACACCTGGTCCTATATTACACCTTGGGAATACCAGGTGCTATAAGCTTGGATATGCTGGTGGTGAAATGGATAACAACTCAAAATCGGAGAGCAGAGTTCCAGTTCCAGCTGAGTTTGTTATATTCACTTAAGTGTAAATATCTTTGAGAAAGATATGAAGCCACCTCATTTCCCCAGCTGTAGGTTAATTAGTAGAAGTTGTATCAGTAAACCATTATTATCTTCAAAAAAATACTTACAATCTAAAAATATTTTCTGGTTTTAAATAACCTGCAAAAGGTTGATAAACTTTAAAAAAAAACAAAAAAAAACAAATCAATCAATTAAAATTCATACTACACACCTTCAATTTATTTCTTATCACTATTAATATTTAGACTTATGTTTTTAAACAGGCTCTGAATAAGTATAACCATTCTCTCTCAGTCCACAATCATTACATCATATCATATTTATCCTTTTAACTCTGGAGAGTTATCAAAAGAAAAACCCAGAGAAATGCTAGAAAAATACATCTCTTCTTATCTTGTCTTTATGTTTGATCACACGGTGTTCTCTTATTTTTTTCCAAAGACAATTATTCTATACAACTGTAGATTATCTTGTAGCTGAAATAATTTAAGGCAAAGAATTTTTTATTTAATCCAAAGCAATGAATTGGCTGGTTGTACTTATAAAAATGAATGTTCTAATTTTAGGATAAACTTTTTCCTCAGAAAGGTCTACATTTGCAAATTTTACAATATCTCACTGATATAAATTTATGCTAAGAGGTAATTGTGTTTATATCAGCTGAGGAATACAGGTTATTAATTCCATAATTACCACTGAAAATGTCAGGTATAATAAAGAGATTACAATCATATCAAATGTATAGATAATTTGCTGCACTTTTGCTTAATTCATTTAACTAAAATAGGGAAAATATAACCTTATCTAGAATATAAACAAATGTTTTATGATTTTAACAAAGATGCAGTTAAACTTTAAATAAATTCTCTGTATTTTGATCTGTAAATATAAAGGTTTTTTGATCATTAACTTTGCTATTCTCAGACTTCTTAACCATTTAACACATGTAAAAATAAAATAATTCTAAAAAGAAACTGAAGTTAGATAAGTCCAAATAGAATGTCAATTCATAATACTCAAATAACTACATTATGCTAGTTACCAGCTAATCAGGTTTATTTTGCTATTTGAATTACTTTTTTATTAGCAAAAATATTTGAATGAATTTCTGAAATATTGTGAATCACAATATTCACATATCTGATTATGTTACTCAAGCTTTAAAATCTCAGAATAGTAGATATTTATACCTTCTTTTTATCTTTTACGACTATTGTACTATGATAGCTTTTTTTTCAATTTTTTAAATCAGGTTTTCTTAATAAATTTAGATACAAGTTCCCTCTCAGAAGCCTATTCCCAATCATTAAGCATACATTAAATATCACAGAAGGGATATTTTTGAAATTTATAATTTGATCATTTCTCTGTCTTCAGATTAAATGAAAAAAGCTAATATGGCAATATCTATCTAAGCGTTTTATTTGATTGATGTCAACAGTTATTAAAAATGTTCTTAACCAAACGCTGTCAGTTTAATATGAAACCATGCTGTCAGTCCAATACAACTCTACAAGGACATTCTTGGATATGTTGGCTTACCCACCCCTGATAATAATCACAGGTGGCTTGAAATTTGAAAGCCTCTTTCTTTTTCTCCTTTGACAAGACATGTTTATTCTCATTTCAATAGACATAAGGCCATGTAAGTACTTCAGGCACACAATGAAAATTGCTTAGGACTCTTCACAACTTCAACTTTGTTTTTTTTATTGCCCTTCTGTAAAGTGTTTTATTTATAAATTTATTAATTGTTTGTATAAATTTCATGTTTTGTTCTTATTTTTACTTGGACTCACACGAGTCTGCCAAATATTGTTTGTGGGACAAATGCATCATGAGGCATAAAATGAATAAGTTCCATTTCTGCAGTTATGTTCATTATTATAGCTTAATTGTAACTGTTGTGATGGCCTAGCAGACTAATTAAGCTAAACATTAACAATCTCCCATCTACATGACATTAGTTGGTACTCATTCAATTCCACAATACCAATATGAATATTTATTATAAATTGATATTAAGTGGAATTTTATAAGTAATTTAACTATTAATCATCTGTTTGTTGAGAAAATAATTTTTTGTTTGTTTTTTCAAAAATACTAATACACCCTTGTTTTGTTTTTTTTTTTTTAATTTTTTTATTTCATATTGTAGGCTAATTCTGTTGTTTTGCTTGCTTTTCTTATTTCAGTCCAGTGAATAGCCGAATTTCTTCAGCAGATGTCAGCCGACAGAGCACTCAGGACTATAGTGACTCTGCTCCCCCTCCTACTGATCAGCCTTACGAGGAAGAGGAGAAACCGAAACAAGAACGGCCAGAATTGCCTTCGCCTGCTCGTAACCGTTGGATTGATGCAATACAAAAAGTTTGCAGTCAGTTAGGAGATGTAAGTGTTCTTTCTTGATGGTGCTCCCTCAATTGACACAGAAATATGCTTATGTATAAATAGTAATTGGAAAATACTTACAGACTTCTTTATGGCTTTCTCATAAATGATTCAGATCATTTTGTTGAAGTTGCTTTCGTCAGCACATTCAGCAATCTGAAAATCTGAAAGGTCAGTCTGCAATACAACAAAGCAGCAATCAAGATTTAATGCTCTTCTTATTTATTTTGTAAACCTTCAAAGAATGGAGCTCAATTTGAAGCAGAGATTTTTACATCTTCTTCACTCTCCATCACTTACCTTATTTATTCTAATCTTTCTATACTCATTCCTCTCCACTTAGGCTTTACTCTCTCAGTTCATTTCTTCTGTCCTTTTTTCTCCCCCATTCCATCTCTAACTGAATTTCATTCACAACATATATGTGCATTCATACACTAGTTTTTAACCTCCAAGAAAGGTAACTTTTACACTAGAAAAGTTACTTTGCTTACATTACCTTTTTCACCAATTTTTAACTTTAATATTAAATTTAAAACATATTTTTCATTGTCAGTTCTTATTGTAATTACTTTGGGCAATTTTAACCAGATACTTGGATGTCAAAATTAATGTTGTTAAATGTGTGTTCCTTTGTATTTATTGAATTGTAAAAACAAGGATCTACCGAAAAGTTCTTAACCCACTTTTTACAATGAGTGTTTCAGTGACTAAGCATCAGAATTTTTGTGGGGAGGGTTAAAGAAAGTGGAGAAACTATATATGCTAAGTATGTTGAACTGTGGAATGAATATGTTGAACTGCATGTTCCTTTCATGACTTCATATTATTCTTCATGGTCATCCTGAGAATTTTTGAGCGTCCAATCATATATTTAAAATAGTATATAACATATTTGGGCTTGTTTCATTATTTATTTTACTCTAGTGGCCCTACACATACTTGTGCTGTGTCTTTGTAAATATAGGACAGTCATTCTCACATGTGGTATTTTGTTACTTTCTCTTTGCGTTGCTGTGTTCTGCCATCCATCTCTTCTTAATAGCAATGAATTGAAGATAGAGAAAAAGTGGTAGGATATATTTTTAAATTTTGTATTACTTTGATGTTATATCACAACAAATCTTGATTGGTGTCCATTACTATATCATTATTGGAGATTTTTGAAGTATCAAATTTCTATCTACAAGTTGTTGGTTTATACATTGTATCAAGGGTTGAGAATCTCTGTCAACAAGTTGTTCTTAATAGTGTTAGGGATAAGCTTTAAAGAATGCTGCATGCTTGTAAAATCAATATAATTTGATTCTCCTTATTGCAGTAGGATATTCAGTTGGGAAAGATATCTTTCTGCAGATTAATTCTGTTACTCTTTGTAAGTTGCATATACAAAGTTATTCCTTTAATCTAGAAGCCATTTGAGTGAGAAAAGCTAAAAGTATTAGGTTGTAAACAAGCATTCAGATTTTCAGTCCCTTCTGCACTGTCTATTGTCTGTTACTAATATGATTGCATGGACAGGTTAAGTGTTTCTGTTATTGAGAATTGGAGTCCTTAATCATTTGCCAACACTTTAGTGATTTGTCAATCTGGAAACTTAACATCAGCTAACCATTTAACAGTTGACTCCTTTTCAGTCATTTTAACTTTGACCTTATATTCTGAGAAAAGACATACTCTTTTAACATCACTATACCACAAATATAAATAATATGACATCCCTAACTCGAATGTCATTCCCTCATAATTCTGTCTTGAAAATGTTTCAGGTATCAACAAAGCCTGCAGAACTTTACTCAAGCCATTGACTTCTAGAATCAATGTTTAACTTGTTCCCTATTTTGATAGGAAATAATTTCTCTTGAATTGCTTTTCCCCAATCTCAGCATAATTCTGTAAAAATAACTTTCACAAGTAGCTTCTATTTCAAATCAGAGTTACTGAATAATACTGGTTAATTCACACTTTAGGTTCAAATCCTAAAGGCACATCATGCTGACTATTTTATTACTTTAGCTTTTTACAATTTTGATTGCTGCCTTCGTCTTTGAATGGCTGTAAAAAAAAATAAAATCTACATCTTTTCATGCATTTTTAACATGGCTATGAATATCACATGTTTATAAACAGTAAAATTTACAGAAGTAAAAGAATAAACACAGATGTTATTTTCCCAAATTATCAATTAATTAGCTTATACTGGTTTACACACAAAGATTTTAAAAACATTTGACAGAATGTTTCTAATTAGTTTTAGACTATTAGAACAGCTGTATATTGGTAATAAAAGTGTATTTTCACAAATGAAATCATATTTCAATTTCAAACCTCTGAGGTAGTTAAAGAAAATTTGTACTTTTGCCATGAGTAAGGCATGTACTTTGCGTTCCTTCAGATAACTTTCAAATAACAAAACAATCTATGAATATTTTTTGATAATATGTGTATTTTCCACATCTGGTCAGAAAGGTTTTGTGGTATAGCCAGATGTGGAAATACACACACATACACACTTGAATGCTTATTTACAACATAATACTTTTAGCTTTTTTCCTACAAACTTAGAACTTAGTTTATTAATTAGTTGCAATATTGCATAAGTTGCATCTAATTAGGAAACTAAGTTATAATCTTTCTTTATATCACCTCATTTACCCATTATTCTCTTGGTAAAGATGAAAACTATTTGAATGTGCTGTGAATAATTTCTAAGTGAATATACATTTAATTAATCTCCTTTATGTTTCACTTCTATACAATACCATGTTTTTCTCAAGTAATTTTTGTTTTATACAAGTAGTCTTTTTACATCCTTTGCTTAAATGCTCCTTCAAATTTTCTTCTCCATATTTGATCTCTTATTACTATTAAAGTATCCTTATTATTAATGGATTTATACATTTGTTCCATTCTGTATTCATCTGAATTTGTTTCACTTGTTTTTCACTACAAACAAAATATTTGATATTCAGTAAAGGGAGAATAGTTGCACATTGCTAAATTTTCTGCCTTTAGTGATGAATGTTGGTAAATACACACAAGAATTACAATTTTCATCTAGGAATAAGATCATCATTTTTATACAAGGGATATGTTAGATCATCACAAGGCTTTCATTACTATCATCTTCATAAAGCAAAACACCTCAGTAAGAACCTTAAATTATTACTTTATTTTGTTGTAGGTATATTTCAACTGTTTCACTGGCTTACAACTAAACACTAGAAGAAACCTTACATTGATACCCATAACTCAGGACCAGTAATCTAACATTGGTGACCATTGAAATCGGGGTTTACAAAAGACCTATTGTTTTACACTATTTAAGTTATATATATATATATATATATATATATATATATATATATGTGTGTGTGAGAGGATTCTAATAAATTGAACTTTTTCATGGCAAATCATTAAAATAGTTGTGTTTACTATCAATTGTTTAATTTTTAAATAGTTAACTTTACATTGCACACACTAAAGTTTTGTCATTATTATTTTCTCTAATTGTTAGACAACATGTTAGTTAAAAATCTATATAGAAATTGTTGTATTAAATGGGCATTTGGTATATTCAGTAAAATTAAAATAATTATTTTTCCACATTCACTTTGTTGAATAACATATTAACCATTTTTGTTTTCCATGGAGAAAGAGAATGCTTTAAAAACCAGAATAAGTGATAATCTGAAAGTATAATATTGAAGAACGAACCCATGTCCCTGATACATCAGGCAGACCTCCTTCGGTACACGAAAACAGCCTGGGACAGCTTGAGATTTTACATGGCAGAAGCTTCTCTCTCAGACTTCTTCAAACATACTGCTTCCAGAACTGCTGGATCCTTACTGGAATGGATAGTTTTATACCACAGAAAAAAATATAGCAGAAACCAAACAGCCAGCCTTGCTTCACCCACCAAAAGTGCTGCAGCCATAGCTCACCGTAACTGCTACTACAATACCTATCACAATGAGCAGTGTAGTAAGACACTTGCTACCTTCAGAACTGTTCACAATCATTGCAAGAGAGTTCTAGAAAAGTGTAGCTATGCACAAGCAGTCCAGGCCAGGCCAAGTTTGAAAGTAAACAAATTGGGTCTTACAAATTCAGGAAGATCTCTAACCAAATTCTGAATAAAGGCAAAGCTACAGTGCCCCAAGGTTACTTCATCTTCATCAGATAAGTTATATCACACTGAAACACAAGTTCCCATACGATCACCAAACTTAAGCAATATCGAGCCTGGTCTGTACCTAGATAGGTGACTGCTTGGTATTACCAGTGTTATAAGCTTGAATGTGTAAGTGGTGTAATGAATAATGGCTTGGAATTGTTAATTGAAGAGCCAAGTTCTAATTCCTGTTGTGTTCGTAATTTTTACTTACCAGCAAATAACCTTGGGAAAGGTATGAATCCACCTCTTCGCCCCGCCCCAGCTATGAGTTAATTAGTAAAACTTGTATCACGAAATCATTATCTCAGAAAAAAATAAAATTCTTACAATCTAAAAATATTTTCTGGTTTTCAATAACCAGCAAAGGGTTGATAATCTGTAGAAAACAAATCAGTCAAACCAGATAAGACAAAGACCCTTCCAGCCTTCTGCCATCTCACTAAACACAATCTCAATAATATTTTCATTAAAGCTTGGGAAGTCTCGAGACTTATTAAAAAGTTTTGACTTTAAGGCAGCCACCAGTCCAGAGCATTCATCACTCTCCTCAGTGACCATTTGTAAACTTTTTGAAGTTATAATCAACAATAAGGTTGTTGATCACCTCAATAGGAACAACCTCTTGAGTGATAAACAGTATGGGTTTTGATCGACCAGTCCTCTGAGGTCCACACGATCAACACAGATATCCCCCAAGATTCACTTCTTGGTCCAACCCTCTTCCTACTTTACACAAATTATCTGCCTAAGAATATATTTCAATCATTTGTGAATATCTATGCTTGATGATACAACAGTATATAGGTGCACCTCCAAAGTCCTAGATGACCAGAGCTTAGCAGTTGATCTCAGAGGAGAGATCAACTAACTTAACTTTGACAGCTCAGTGGGAGAAAAAGTGCCTAGACACACTCAATACCTCAAAAAGCCAAACTAGTGGCATTCCACCATCGCCGATCAGACCCAGAACTTTCACCAATCACTATGAACAACTGTTTCCTCAGGTAGACTCCATGCCTTGAGCATCTGTTAGGACTTAAACTTAGCCCAAAGTGGAATTGAAACTCATACATACAATCCATCACTAAAGATGTTGGAAAAATAGTTGGTTCCCTGTCCCACTCCAGCAAGTACTTGACTCAACTTTCTATCTCCTACCTTTACAAGAGCCAGATCAGGCCAAAAATGGAGTACTGCTGCCATATATGAGCAGGAGCAACCTAGTCTTTGCTTTCTACTCACTATAGTTCAAAAGTGTCTCTGCATCCTTGTGGGTGACAAATTATTTTCCACCTTACATACCCCTTCTCACTGATGATAAATTGCACGCCTCTTGCTGCTCTATTGCTATTTCCATGGAAAGTGTTCACAGTGATGCACTTACTCCATAAGTACAGGTAGCCTACAGACCTTGTACAGGGTGAACATCATTGGTAAAAAAAATAAATCCAGTGTAACATTTTTTTTTTGCCTGGTAACCTAAAAAGGCATATGATCTGTCATTAACTTGATGGAATGCTATTTTGTCAGTTGCTGCTATCAAATGGTGTCTTTGCACACAGTACTTGTTCAAATCGTTTGTTTTTTTGTTTTGTTTTTTGGGGTGGGGAGAGAAACTTATAAGAGGATTGCTTTCCAATCTCTACACCACCCACCATCTACATCATCATCATAATAATAATAATAAACTTTGAAGACCAGCATTTGGTACATATTAATGATTTATTTCACTTGTCCCTTGATCTCTTTCATTCTACATTGTCATATTCAATTTTCTTTTCCTGTCACAATTTGGAACATTTGTTTTTGTTTAAGTAGAAAATCATACATAAAATATGGTCCAATGATCATTTTGTTTAACATATGTTTGAAGTTACACATGGAAACAATTAAGCCAGTGTAGATGATTTTCACTGATTTAGATATTTTAAAAATTTTGATTATTCAAATGTTGTTTAATATCAATTTTTTACTGTCAATCTCAACTGGTTTACCTAAACTTAATGTATCATACATCAAGAAATTGCTGGTGCTAAATTTTGCAAACTATTTTTGACATGTTCACTCATTCAAGGTACCTTCTTCACAAGCAGAAAAAAATCTTTGTGACATTTGAACTAATTTTTACCCTTCATAAAATTTTTTTAAAATAAACAGCATGATGTGCAAAAAATATGTAAAATAAGCATAAAATGTGTGTTTCCTTCTACTTTCAATATTAGAATCAATGACCAAAGTACACAGATTTTGATCATTTGTTTCAATAAATGCTTATAAAAACAGTTCCAGAACTGTGAAAAGCAATGTTAAAACTAAATACTTCTGTCATCTAGCTATGAAAATGAATGTTTTAAGCTACTCAATAATTTGACTTTTACACTCCAATAAAATGTACCTGATTGTTTTTGGGTTTTTTTCAGCCTGAAATAGATGGAATGAATGGGGATTCACGGGAAAAATGGTGGGCACGACATGCCAATGGCGGGTAAGTTATTTACAAATTTTTTTATGCTTTAACGGGTGTATATGGGTATATATAGTGATATGTGTGTATATATGTATACCGGTATACACATTTTATATATATATATATATATATATATATATATATATATATATATAGCCTCTATGATTATGATAAGTATATGCATGTATGTGTGTTGTGTGTGCACAGGTATATATCGATAGGCATATGTATGTATTATGTGCATGTATGTATATATGTGTATACAAAAAATAAGTCCGTGATTTCAAAACCTCCAATACCAAACAGCTCTGATAAAAAAGATATAAACAAAACAAACACAGAGACATACAGACACTCTTCAAGTCTAAAGCCAGGAAGTAATAAGCTAGAGTAATTAATGCAATTTACAACAACCAACTTATACTAAGAGACCTCAAGACATTCTCCAAACACATAGTCTTATCGATCTTTTATTCAAACTGATGATGCCAAAGAGAACATAAGCTTTCTCTGGTGAAATGTATCTTTGATAAAAAAATTTTCCACTTCATATCATCATTTTTTGCTTTGGATACTATTATATGTCCTACAAACATACAATATGTTTTAACTTGCTGTTAGCCTAAAAACTTTTATCACAATTGACATCATGATTGTGTGTGTATATATATATATATATATATATATATATATATATATAATTATTATTTATAAAAAAATTATAACATAAGTATGTTATAAATTCACTACAAAAATAGCCATTTTGTTTCAACACACTGTGTCTTATCATGAAAATAAAATAAACCTATTAGATTTATTTTATTTTCAACATCACTTGATAACACAGTGTGTTGAAAAAAAAAAAAAAATGGCTATTTTTTGTAGTGAATTTATACATACTTATAATTTTTTTTATAAATAATAATTATATCTACTCTACTTTGTATTGAGCACTTTTAAGAATAGTAATTGTTGGTTATTGAATTCATTCCGTATATACCAATTATATACTTGTGTGTATATATATATATATATATATATATATATATATATATATATATATATACACACACACACACACACATATATATATATATATATATATATATATATATATATATAATGAACTGTTCTGTGATGGGGAATATGGAGATGGTTTTTTTAACCTTGATTATTATAATTTGTTGAATATTACTTGTTTGGCTGAGAAAAAAGTGGTAGTCAACACAGGTTTGTTTTTGTTTGTTCATCTCTTTTAGCAATAAATTAAACTGTATTACTATAAAGATTTTTTCTCTTGTTTGTAATAAAAAAAATGTTTCATTTTCAGGCATCCATAAGAAAGTTTACTTTTTGTTTGTTTTTCCTTTTTCTTAAATTTGTTCCTTCTCTTTTGTAATTCATTACCCATAATATTTGACCACTCTTACCACTGCAAAGCTTATTCATTTAAAAATAGAATGCCATATATTGAAAAAGAAAAAACATGATTATACTCTCATTTCTGAAAGGTGAATTAATAAATTTAATGACTATACCAAAAACAAGAATATTTAATATTTTTTCTGTAAAACCACTTTCAATTGATCATTTTCTGCTTCATTTGTAGCTTTAATAAAATATTGATTGCATTTTTTTTTCTATTATCAGACAAAATGTGTTGCTCATTTGTATTGATCTACTTATTTCCCTTTTCACAACAGCAAAATTCTCATTGATTTTCTTTTATTGATTTCGTCTCTATTCTGAAATGAAAAAAATTTATTACATGCAGTAAATTTTAAATTGTACTTTTTTTTCATATTACATTGTATGAATAATCATTAAAAAATAAACTAAGTTTAAAATTAATATTGTATCTTCAGTCATAATCAAAAATTATAATTTGGTAATTCTCTCCCTTCACTCCTAAATTGTTGGCATTTTGAAATTATTCCCCTTATTTCGCTAATAAAACGGAAATACTATATTATTTCAGATTCAAAATGAGATGTTACAGTTTTTAATACCAATAACTTTCTTACCTTTTCAGGCTAATCTGAAAGTGACGCTTGTTTGAGTGTGTGTTATTTAGTACTTGATTAAAAAAAAGTTTGAGACTTTTTTCTTGTTCGTATGTATTGAAAATTCCATACTATCTCAATTTTTATTGTTTTTTTATTATTATTTTTTATTATTTTTACAATATTTATTTATTGAAACGTTTTACTTTTTAAATTAATATTTTCATAAACCACTCCCAAAAATTATTTCATATTATGAAAGTAATAATAGAATGTTTATGTTAAAAAAAATCAATCAAAAATTGTATTTATACAAGTACTTTCTATTGAAATTAACCTAATGCATACAAATATATTATGATCAAGACAGCTGATCTGTTTAAATGAGAAATATAAATATTAAGGTATGTTGTAAGCATTTAAAATTACTCTTAGATTGCTTTACTGAACATCTTCAATGCTGTAAAAATAAATTTAGGTCATATAAATTCTCAGTATTTCATTTAAAAACCTGAAATATTTTGCATGTCCCAATTTATTTTATTTTTTTTTGTGCAACACTTTAAAAATGAATATTCGAATTATCAAAATCCTGAATATTGTTCATACTCATTTAATAGTTAAAAGGGTTAAAATTTAAAACCTGCAATTAATTTTCTTTACTCATCTTACAAATTTAATAGCTACATTATTTTTCATTATTTATTTTACTTTCAAATAAAACCAAATTTTCACCTGCATATCTCTGTCCAAATATCTTCTCAATGATTAGGTTATAAAAATATTGTATAGCAGTAATATTACTCATATCTGGAATAGTATGTTTGAGATTTGATTTTATGTTTTAAACATGTTACAAGTTGTAAATATTTTAAATGGATAAATTTAACAGTGATATCTAATTTGAATTTCTACATTTTTTCTCTTCTAGGATACAGAAAACAGAGTAAGAATTTATTTTTCCTGCATTAATCCCCCCCACACACACACACATACACATCTTTCTAAATTATGCCTATCTAAGAGCTATTATGATTCTATAGCTGCTTAAGTTATACCAAGCACTCACATACTACAAATTGGTATAAACTAATGAATTATTTATTATACAATTTCTATAGAAAAAGAAGAGGCCTTTCATTCCATTAATGCACCCCACAAAATTTATACAGTTCATGATGGAAAAAGAGCATGATAAACTTCCTTTTTTATATGTCCTCATAACCTGCAGAGATGTCAATTTTAGCACATGTATATATTTAAAACAAAAAACAGTATATATATATGAAGTATATATGAATTTAAGCTCAACTCATCCCTTCTGCATTTGTTGTTTTTAAACAAAGATCATCAGTCAGGACCTCATACATCTCATGGAAGAGCTGACGCTTATAAACATTACCTTCCAAATTAACTCTCTGCAATATCTCGAACCATCAATAGGAAGAGACATGTTGGAAGGGTAGTTTTTAATGGCACAGCCATTTTTTTGTAATCCCCTTGTTTATGTTTCCCCACCCCCACCCCTCTCAAAAGAAGTGGATGACAAGATTGCATCTATGCAAATGTGAAAAAGAATATAAAGGAGAAACCAGTCATCTATTGAATGTCAGGTTACAGGGACATGAAGAAGTCTAGTATGGGAGATGATATCTAGAGAGAAAAGCGTTCGCACAAAATGGCTGAACAAATGAGAAAATTGCATATATTAAACATATGAACAAATATCTAGTAAGGCGGTTATAAATTTCAATATAGTATGAAAATATGTGCTTAACAAAGAAACTGGACATCACCAACAAAAATATGGATTCATCTGGAGTTATCTGTATGACAAGCATTCCTGTATTTTATATATGCAACTAATTTCTGGTTTGCATGATCAAAACTGAAATCTCTTTTACTCCTTGCATAAGAATTGCAGATTTAAAGAATGCTGAAATCTTATGGTAACAACAATAACGAGATGAAATTCCATTCTTCAGATGGCTCTAAAAGTTTATGCAAATTTAAAACTTTACCAAGACAACTTTTACTTCTTTTTTATTCCAAAGCTTATTTTGACTCTTAACATGTAGACCAAAATATTGTCTTGAATAAATAGCACTGAAGTCATCCCAAAGAGCCCAGGTTCCTAAATTTTTCCTATACTTTCATGAAATCATTTTGATTGTTGTCTAACTTAGAAAAGTAGCAACATTTTGCAAGTCCCAGTTTGCTGTATATAGTTTTCTTCTTTTTTGTGAGTCAGTGAAGTTGAATGCAATTGTATTAATTCCAATCAATATGCTGTTAGAAATGCAAGTAGAACCATCTTAATTAGTGCCCCAAGTGAAAGGACAATAATTTAAACATTTCATTAAAGTATTACTTTAGAAAAGCAATTATTACATATTATACTTGTTCTGTCACTTATATTACTTCCTGCTCTCACCTATTGCTGACATTTGTCAACTCCTGGCTTTTTAGTCTTTCCTAAGAACAATTAGAACTGTCCATTCTTTTCAAGCTAATGCACTGTGTTTGATTATAAAAATGTTTAAGTTTTTCTGATTTTTTAATAGAAATAAATCATCTATTAACAAATGTCTTAAAAAATGGGAATATAATTTGAAATACAGCATACTTCATTGACTCTTGAAGGGAATTTGTGTTTGCCAGATGTTTCAATCATTCATATTGAAAATGTGCCTGTGATGAGAAGTTATAGATATTTTTCATGGAATTTTACAAGTTATTCTATGTGAATGTACTGTTTTAACATTTCTGTTTGAAATGCTGTATTGAAATATAATGGAAAGAAATGTTAAGTATGCTTTCACTGTTTAAAAAAAAATATGCTTAGATCTTAGATAGTCCAAGATAGAACTCAAAGAAAAATATTGTGTTACTCAAAAATATTGAGATATTTTATAATTTGTTAATTTTTTTTCTTGTCCTCTTCCTAACTAAATTTTCATTTGGTCTTAGCAGCAGCTTCAATAACTTTAACATAAATTCAATGTTATTTTTATG